AAGCAAACATAAGAGAAAAGAACCTGACTAAAACAAATTTTAAGAGCAAATTTGAAAATCATACATCAGAAAAATTGGCTAGTAGGACAGGATAGCTAAGAGAGAGCTTGATTATAATAAAATTTAGGAGAGGACATGTTGTATGAGAGTTGGGAAAAGGAGAGAACGTCTCAAGTGAGCCACAGAGCTGAAGAGAGGAGAAAAGAGAAGGTTAAGGTGTGAGGTGAGCAAGAGAATGTTTAGAAGGGGTACAGGGTCATTTAATTCTAATAGATTAAGTTCATTTTTTATAGCCTAAGTCTTTTTAGGCCTACCTCTACCTTTCTTAACATAAGTTGAATCTAATACATCTACTCTACTAATCAGATCATCAGATGGTCGACGTTTAATGTGATCAAACCATCTAAGAAAATTTTATAATCTTTCCTGCAACTAGAGCTACACCAGTCCTTTCACGGATACATTCGTTACGCATTTTATCTCTAAGTGTTATGTCACTCATCCACCTAAGCATTATCATCTTAGCAACACTTAACTTTGTTTTAAGCTTACCATTTAAAGGCCAACATTCTGTGCCATAAAGCATTGCAGGTCTGACCATCTTATGAAATTTTCCTTTAAGTCTAATCTGTATTTTTTTATCACACAATAGGCTTGATGCATACCTTCACTTCAACCAACCAACTTCAATTCTACTAATAATATCCCCATCTAGATCACCATCACTTTCAACAATAGACATGAGATATCCGAAACATTCACACCTCTTAATGCTTGATCGCCCATAATTACAACTCTGCCATTAGAGCTATTACTACTAAAATTATATTCCATGTATTCAATTTTAGATTTACTCAAACAAAAGCCTTTAGACTCCAATATAAAACTCCATAATTCAAGTTTTTCTTGAACTTCAAAAAGAAGGATATCATCAGTAAAAAACGTACACCAAGGTATATCCTCATGTATATGTCCAGTAAGAGCATCCATAACTAAAGCAAAAAGATATGGGCTTAAAGCCGATCCCTGATATAATCCAACTGAAATAGGAACATACTTGGTCAATCCTTTTGCTTGAACACAGGTAGTAAATTTAGTATACATATCTTTAATGACTTGAATATAAGTCTTATTAACAATATTCTTTTCTAAAACTCTCTACAGAACCTCTCTTAGAACCTTATCATAAGATTTTTCTAAAATTCATATGTAGATCTTCCTTTCTCTGTATTCTCCATCAAACCTCTCGATAAATGTATAGCTTCCATAGTAGATTTGCTCGATATAAATTCAAACTGATTATGAGAAATCTTTGTATCACACCTTAACCTATGTTCAATTACCTTCCCATAATTGTATAATATGACACATTAACTTAATTCCTCTATAATTTACACTCTTGTGTACCCCTTTATACATAAAATGGGGACCAAAATACTCTTCTTTTACTCGTGCATCTTTTTCGTTTTTAAAATAATATTAAAGAGTTCAGTAAGCCAAGAAACTTCCATATATCCTAGATATTTTCACACTTTAATTGGGATATCATCAAGTCGTACTGATTTTCTACTATTGGTTTTCTTTAAAGCCTCCTCAACTTTCTTTTTACTGATGCGATGGTAAAAATGAAAAAAATATTATTACTATAACGATATTAAGATCACTAAGGTTTATCATATTTTCAGATACTTCATTGAAAATTTTATCAAACTAGCTCTCCCACCTATATTAAATATCTTTCTATTAGAAAAACACTTTTGATTTTCATCTTTAATACAATTTACTTGAATTAAATATTTACTTTTTTTATTTTTGATTGGCTAGTTTAATATATATATGTTTGGCTTATATATATATATATATATCACCATCTTTAGTATCTACTATATTATAAAGATCACTATAGACAGAATTCTTAGCGTCACAAATTATTCTCTTAGACTCCATATGGGCCACTTTATATTTTTTCTTGTTCTCTAAGTTTTTATATTTAAATCAATTTTTATAACACTTCTTATATTTTATCTTTTCTTGTACATTATTATTCCACCATCAATTATTTTTATATATAAGTATTTTTCTTTTAATTCTCCAAGTACATCTTTTTGCCACTTGTTTAATAATGCTTCTTTCTTTATCCCATATATAATTAGCTTCTTCATGGTCGTTCCAAATGTTAGAATTTGAAGTTTACTCATAATTTTTTCTTTGTGTTTTTAAAGTGCCACCATCAAATTCTATGACAATATTTTATTGTTTTATTCATCTTAAAATCCAAAACTAATAAATGATGTTGAGTATTTAAATTTTAACTTGGAATGACCTTACAATCTTTTCATTCTCAACGATTTCTTTTTCTCATAAGAAAATAATTAATTTATTTTTTATTAGATCCATTCCTTTAAGTAATAATATGGTCATTTCTTTTCTTAAATAAATCATTAGCAATAACAAATCATAAGCTAAAGCAAAATCTGATATAATTTTGTCCTCTTCGTTAATCACTACAAAACTGTGGTCACCATGAATATTTCTAATATCTTTTATCACTCTACCAACATGTCCATTTAAATCTTCAATAAAAGAAGCATAAACACTTATAATATTAAAAATTTTAGTATCAACAATAATATTTAGGGATATAATTCTTTCTCCAATTATATTAAAACGTTGTGTTTCAAACTCTTATATGTAGTTACACCTATACTATTTCTAGTGCAACTCCTACCTGAATACCAAAGTTTAAAACTTAAGTCATCAATCTCTTTAGCATTTTCTCCAACCCATTTAGTCTGTTGCATAAGATATTTATGTTCCTATGAAACATAATATCTACTATTTTCAGTAATTTACTTATGAGAGCATCAATCTCTTTAGCATTTTCTCCAACCCATTTAGTCTGTTGCATAAGATATTTATGTTCCTATGAAACATAATATCTACTATTTTCAGTAATTTACATATGAGAGCACCTATATTCCAATATTTTATTCTAATATTAGTTTCATGGAACTTCTTTGCCCGCATCTAACCATAATGTTGGAACCCTTGCTTATTTGACACTACACCGGACACCGGTGTAGCGGCCCTCACTCACTTTTCACTTTATTCATGTCATACAGTATGCGCTTCTAGGGATTTCTAGGGACGCCCTAACAATTATACAATAATTTGAAGGATTCATGTCATGTTTTATTGACAAAAATTTTACGCTGACTGTCGATTACCTAACGCAGCATTCCACTTTTCGCATTTGAGATTTGAGACTAGACAATGACAAAAATTAGAAAACCAACAGAAAAATACTATTTGTTTGTCCTTTCTATGTGTTTTTTAATTTTATTTTTAAATATACCACATGTTTTTATAACATTCAAAACACGGAAAAGTCTGTTTAGAGAACACATTTTTTTGGACCTATGTTCTAATCGAGCTACTTCTTTGCTTCTTTATTCTTTGCCCTCAATCGACTCCTCTGACCTGTCGTTGGGGTTCTTCTTTGGCCAATGATCACCCATCGCTGCTTCTTCAGCAAACATTGTTGACAGTCACTCCTTCGGCTCCCACACATACAACTTTTTTTTTTTCTTGGGTTCCTCTTCATTCATCTTCGGTTCCTCTTTATTCATTCGACTCTTATTTCTAGGGCAACGCCTAAGTATGTTTTCCTTTCTTAATTCAGGGGTTTGAGTCCCTTTTCTTTGTTTAGTGGAAGATTCATTTACATGTGGAGTATTTAGAGGAATAAAGGAAAAACATGTATTTATATAAATAAATGTTCTTTGTATGTTGTTCTTGATGCTGAAGTTGGATGTTTAAAAAATAGAAGGAAGATTTACATTTACATATTTTATGTATTTACATATCTAAAACCTATTTAATTTTTACATAGATATCAACTTATATATGTATGAAAAGGTTTATCTTTTCTTTTGAAAGTTAAAATGATGCTATTTTGATGTGATATAAAGATTTGGATTATATACATATAAAAAGTAAATTTTGAGTGTCAGATATGTAAATTCATAGAAATTCGGAGGTATGCATGAATATGCCCCAATAGGTGATTTGTATGTAAATGGCTTTTTTGTTCAAATGTTTTTTAAAGAAATACAATTTTTTTTTTAAATAAAAAATATATAACCAAATATATTTTTGTTTTTAAAAACAGAAAAATCATAAAAGTGCCAAATATATTAAAAAAAAAAAAAACTAAAAATGATCCCAACCCTTAGCAAGGGTGTTTTTGATCCGTTGTAAATTAACGGTTCCACATACTTATTTAGCTGATTTTTGAAAAAACGGCGCTCCTTTTTATAATATGGCCAAAAGCTCAGGTTAATAATTATAATTCACATGAACATGCACGGAGACGAGTGCTATATCGCAACTTCACCTCTTCCCCGACTTGATCACCATAGGAAGCACACTTGCAGAGCAAGTTGCCAATCTCTATTTGTAGTACTGACTGGTACCTACATCATAGCATAACAATGCCATGACACTCTGAAATATGATTATACGATAATCATTCTATTTATAATATATAGAGTTGTTGGTTTGTCCATCTTTGCTTCCTGGCCATATTAGCTCCTTAATTTGCCTTTCGTGCTTATTACTTGGTTGATTTCTTACTAATTTTGTAGAAGATAATGGTAATGGGCTGTGCAGTTAGAGGATGATTTTGTGTTACCCTGTTGCAATAATCATGTTATATGGACCGTCTGTTTTTTTTTTTCTAAATGTCATCTCGATAGTGGTGGTTCTACTGAAGCAAGTTGACTTCTCCTTTCATCTTCAAAACTTGGAGCTTGTAGTTCTTTATAGTTTATATTATGAACTTGGGATCCAGATGAAATTAATTGCAAACCTCCAGAGAAGGATTGTTATTTAATGTATGCATATTTATTTTTTGTGAAATCTCTTTTTTTTTCAATTTTCATGATTAGTTTTTTGATGATGACATGAAGGACTGCTGCTCTGTTTTTTTTGTTGTCCAGATCCTGACAATCCTGAATTCATTCTCATCAATGATGAACCAGAGCCGGATCCTGAAAACCCTTCAAGACTCGTATATAAAGACGCTCCTCTCATTCTCCACACTCCAACGGGCAGGCTCATCAATTATGTTGAGGATGAGGAGCATGGCTTACGATTATTCTGGCAGCCAGATCTAGAAGAAGGAGAGGATATTGACCTTAACAAAGTAGATTTCTTACCACTTGGCTTCGATGAGTTTTATGGGCGATCTCCATCTGGTGAAAAGAAGCAGACTGGCTTGGCAAAATTGATTACATCTGCGGAGAATGCTCTCAAACCTGTTTTTGAGAGATTGGATGCGTGGATTGAGGAGAAGAAGAAAACCAGTGAGATGAAGCAGAAGCTTATTGAAAAGGAGCTCGAGTATATCGAGGCTGAAATTTGCCTTGAAGAGGCAATGGAAGATTTGGAAATGGATTTGAAGATGAAGCAGGAAGAGGAAGAAAGAAAGGCTGCTGAGGGTAATGAGAAAGGGGAGTCTCCTGAGGCTGGGCAGGATGAAGGAGGATATGGGGATGGGGAAAATGAAGAAGAAGCTGCACCTACGAGTTTCGGTTCAGTGAGTGATCGACAAATAGATGGGGAAGAAAAGTCAGAGAGGTCTTCTTTCTCTTCTCTGACAATGTCATTTGGTTCCCTTCGCTGGCCTTCAGTGGTGAGTTTTTCCAGAACCACCCCCCCTTCCAACTTGCACAATGCTATGTTTGATCTTTTTTTCTTCTTCATTTTTTTTAATGAAAAATGCATATTATCGTCATCACTCTTCATTAAATATTAGATCTTATAAGGTTTCCGCACCATACTTTTTTATTATAACTGTTAGCCATTCAAATCTTTGTATAAAAAATGATCTTAATTTATTAGAATTAAATGAAAATATGACACAATAAAACACAATGGAAAAAATGATTCATGTAGCGTACCCCACTTAGTGGGACAAAGGCTTGTTGTTGTTAACCATTCAAACTTTTCCACTGCTTGCATTATCTAACAGTTATTTTTACTTGTTCCATTTTTATACCAGTTCTCATCATTTTCTTCCAATGAAAATAAACTTTTTATTATATAGCCCCCTTAGCATTTGCAAAATGTCAAATTCCTACTTAAGATTAACTTTCATTAAAATAAATTATTGGTTATTCATTTAACAACAGGAGAAGACTAATTGACAAAATGTAATTAACCACAGAATTCTTGCTTTTTGCTTTATGGTTTGCTTGGAATTATTTTTTTTCTTTTGTTAAAAAACAATTTTTTTAGTGTAATTTCACATGTTTTTTTATTTTTTTTAACTAAGTTTACTTGTTTTTAAAAACACTCAAAATTTATTCTGAGTGTTTATAAAACAGGCTGTTTTGTTTTGAACATGCTAAATATATTTTATTTAAAATCCAAATGCATATAAAATATAATAAAAACATAAAATAGTTAAAAACAAACAAAACTGATCTCAAACTTCCCCTTAGTTTAAGCTATCATAGGCTTTTCCTAATTATTGCTTAAATAGATTGGTCAGCGAATGCTATATGCATAGTTTTTCTCGTCTCTTAAAATGTTTTTTTACATTATCTGATGTGAAATTATATGGATTACATGGTATAAAATATCTCTTGCCTTCTAAAACGACGGGACTAAAAACCTGAGGGGAGACATTTGAATACTATTATGTATTACTTGTTTATTTCTAAGATCATTTTAGTAGTGTATGCAATGATGGGGATACATTTTCATTTATTGATTCAATTTTTCCTTAATGAAAAGTTTGTTATTTTACTCTTATCAAATTTCAATTTGACAATTTTATAGATTGGAGAAACTCAAAAAAATTCTTGAATTAAGATCTTCTGAATAGGACTAATATTAAAATCCATTAGAATTCCTTAAAACTTAATATAAAGATTGAATTTGATATTTTTATAGATCTCAGGGGCTATATAATAATTAGCTAAATATCAGGTGAGACAAATGACAATTTCTTATTTCCAATCCCTTATTCTTTTTATCCATAATTAACTTACATGTTATTATTCTTCTGTATGCCCAGTTGCCGGCCAAATTACAAGAATCTTTAGCTGTGTGGAAAAAACCAAGACACCTGGTGTCTCCACATCCATCTTATCCTAGGAACTTCTGCAATTCACAGAGTCAAAATGAATCACTGAGTCACAACTCAGTGAAGATGCCGATAAATTCTCGGCCAAAGCTTATTTTGAGAGCGGTACATGAAGGAAGGCGTGTCTACAGCACTAGCAAACGCCACTGCCGACCGATCTCTTCAGCTCGGCTTCTTTCATCTCGAAAATCTTCCAGCGGTTCAAAGACGAACTCAGTCCACAGTAAAATAGCAGGATTTGGTAATGATATTAACATACTTTCTCTGCATGTACCACTTCCTGATGCCACTATTATTCATTAACATATTGTTTAGTATGTCTTTGTTTTTATTTCTGTTATTTTCTGAACAATAATACATTTTAGTTTCTTTAAATTCTTGTTGTGAATGTTTGGATTGATTAGAACTTTAGAACTTGACTAATTGTTCATTCAGAAATAATTTGATCAAATTATTAGTTTTTGGGGCAATTACATACCACCCGAAACTTGCTATTTACAAATCAACCGCCATCTTTCATCCATTTTCTTGAATTCTCGCTCAAATATCAAAATTTATGATAAACCCCCAAATCTTTTTTTTTTTGTTTTTATCAAATTCTTAATAGTTTGATCGGGACACGTGCAAATACATCGGTTCCGTAGTTCAAAAAACTTACTGTAGTTAATTCGTAAATATCAATGTTTTGGGTCATCTTTATGTAAATATCCTTTTTTTTTTCTAAGATATCAATATTCATTTTTGTTATATCATTCACAAAGAATCTTGGTATACATATGTTAATGCATCAAATACATATTTCATTGGATTGGGTATGTATATGTTTTGCTGACCTAAAAGTTTTTTTGTGGAATGGGAAAAATGTTAAAAATACTCTTTGCAGGGAAAATTTATTCCATACGGATCGGACACTGCACGCATGGGGGGGTGTCTCTCCATCCCTGACCGTAAATCAAGTGATTTACGGTCATGATGTATTTCGGTGGGCCCCATCTAATTTTTTTTTTTAATTCTGACAGTAAACAGTAAAAAACCGTGATCTACGGTCATGATCGGACACCGCATGCAGAGATGCATATGGTGTCCGTATGCAATAATTTCTCCTTTGCAGGGGTAATTTTAATTCTAAAGCCTATAGTGTGTCATCTCCACAGTAGATTATTTCAACTTCAATTTAAAGATTTAGGATTAATTTGACACTTAAATAGATTTTGAGACGAAAATGACATCATGTAAACAATCAGGTGCGTCTGTGACTATTTTAACACTTTACGTTTAAGGAATAATAAAATAAAGGGGCATTTACATACATAACACTCGATTCTTATGAATTTATGTATCTTACATCTAACCTTTTATATATTCACGCATAGCACTTGATTCTTTAGTATCACATAAAAAATAGTACTAATGATTGTTTTTTATTAGTGAAATTCACTTTTTCATGCATAGGTAAAGTGCTATTCATGTAATGGAAGTTTAGTTGTGAGATATGTAAATTCATAAGAATTGTGTCCTACATAAATTTCCCTAAAATAAAATTTCTTCATTGTTGCCTCAACTTCCACCTCTAGCCCACATGTAAAATTGTATATATGTGTGGTGCGTTCTTGGGTGGTAAGGTGGTAGGCAGTTGCATTGTCAGTATTAAGACTCCTCTGACCCAAATTTAATCCCTACGATGACAAATAACACGTGGTGAGTGCTACTTTCAAATACCACACTTATAGTATATATATATATATATATATTCGAAAAGGAATGGTCGGAGACTATGATACGAGTCCCGGTCATCCCTCATGCTCCTATAATTTGAGTACCACACGCTAAACTCGGAGGGGAGTCGAACCCCAGACCAGAATAAACTTACAATCGGCAAGTAGATGCATGATCAACTGATCTCAGTACGCGCGCGCGTGTGTTTACAGAAATATTTGAACTTGAGCTGATTATCAATAGGAACAAAGAAGGAAATCCGGCAAGAAAGTACTGAACAATCAAATTATTCACTCAGGGAACACCTTAAGAAATTTGGCTTCACATATGCGGAAGGTCGGTTTGTTAAGCATTTATTTATCTCAACTAAATTATTAAATAGCATGAAGTAATAATAATAATAATAATAGTAGGTTGATAGTCCAAATAACATGCTCCTTGAAAGCACTGATACACCATCGAGGACTGAAGAAACCAAATTTAAAGTCAATGATACTAAATAAGCATGATTAATCATATGATGTTTGATCATTCATTAAAAAAAAATGTTTTCATTGTTCCTCATAATTAAATTCTCTCATTCAAATTTTCATTTGCCCCCTCTATCTCCACTTTCACTTATGTCTCTACTTATTCACATCTGTTTAGATATATCGAGCACACAGATTGATAATTATATAGATGCACTCACGCTTATAATTTCACTTGATTGCACATAACATATAAACACCCAACCACATAGCCAGCTACACTTCCCCTTTTTTTCTCATATATGCAAATATGATACATAAGCATATAAGTAACAATAATTTTGGGCATTTGTTGTGCAAATCGATATAATTAAGTAAATATAATTAACAATACAATTGACCGAGGAAATTAATATGCACTTAACAAAATCATAATTTACAAAATTATTTATACACAATGTCTAGAATAATATTTTGAAGCTTTTCTTGTCCTATAACAAATTTTAATTGGTTTAATATACTCAATAAAACACATAAAATATTGCACAATACAAAATATTTGAAGAAAAATTATTTTTTCTATGTCGATTTGTTTAACACAATCTAAAAAGCTACATGATAAAGATTTTTGAAATTTCCATAGATCTAAAATTTGTAAGAAATTTAATCTAACAAAATACCCAATTTTTTTTTAAATGATCAAATTGAAACATAAAGTAGATTAATAGTAGCCTACTTATAGCCGAATAATTTCCCCAATTAGTCCAATAGACGAAATTGACTCTTAAGGACTCCAAAATCAAATTTTCTCTCATTTTTTTCACTGTTTCTCTCTCTACAACTCTCGAATTGAAAAAAAGCTAAAATGAAGTTTTTAGATGGGGTCAAGAAGACACATAAATATATATAAAGAATGGTCAGAGCTTATGATACGAGCTCCCAACCATTCTCAAGTGTCTAACTTCAATCCAGTAATGCAAGGTAGATGCATTCAATCGAAATCGAACTTGTGACCTTTAGGGGTGTAAACGAGCCGGACAAGAGCTGAGTTGGGCTCATTTATATTTCGAGCTCAAAAAGTGCGTTCGTGTTCGG